TTTTGCGTTGTAATCTTCAGTTTCGAACCACCTCTCCTTCATAAAATCTAAGAGCTGCGTAGAAATAAGGGAAGAGACAGGGCTTTTGCCCTCAAGAAGAGTTTGTTTGTGTCACTGTAACTCTGCTGACTTCAGTACAGTTGCTTCGGACTTGCTCAGTATTACTTGGGATGGAATCTGTGATGTTGTCTCCTATTGTGAAAAGTTTACATCTAAATTCCAAGCTATATAGTTTAAGGTCTTGAACGTGTTGGCTTTGTACTGCTTCCTAACCCCATACATATGCTGGAAAGAACTGTTAAAATGTTTTAGTTGCTTTAGTGCTGCATGATGTTTCCATGTACAATCCTAGTTCTGGAAGTAAGCTATAATAATGTTGCCTCAGGTGGAGATAATGTATTTGGCAGCTCTTTTTACAGCATGGCTGTTCTCTGCTTGATTTGCACATCTGCACCTACTGTGCTGCCCCATGTCTGAATATATCTGGGCCATTATCATGCCATGCCCAGCGGGGAAGAAGGGTCAAGGTGGTACCTACACACAACTAGCACACCACTGTGGGCTGTCCTACTGTGGGTACAGATGGCTTGCAGAAAACTATTCAAGTTAGTGTGATTGCCCATTGTCCTTCCACATGCGAGCAAAAAGCTGTATACATTTCAGCAGGAATTGAACATAGGCAGCATTGAATAGCAGAAGGGTGTCATATGTGTTCTTGGAGGATCTTCATCAATCTGTTTGGCCAGTCCTTTGAAAGTACAGTGCACTAGCTTCTCTGATGACTGTATGTCTCCTGTGTCAGACATTCCTGATGTGCTTTTCCTTTTTTTTTTTTTTTTTTTTCTTTTCTTTTTTTCTTTTCTTTTTAGTTGTTTTGTAGTTTTAACTCCAGTAACTTATTTTTAGTGGTGTGGTAAAAGGCCCTTGTTTAAGGAAGTAGAGCTCTAGCAAAGAGAAAACCCTTCCTTCTCAAGGATGGCCCACTTTGGTTTCATATAGAGGAAGCTCCTTGTAGTGCTAGTGCCAGAGCAGGGCACTTACCTTCCTGTGAGGACATCCTTTTACTTCTCTTGTACTGTTTGTATTCTGCAAATGTGGTCTCTTGAAGGCGATGTTAGAATGCTAGAAGTGGATCTAATAATATAAATCATAGAGAACTGAAAAATGGTGATGTGTTTTAAAGGCTTTTTGAGTCATTACAGTGCTGCTGCTATATATCAGAAATAATATTTTATATTTTTATATTTGGTCCCTTCTGACGTTCTCCCAGGAATATACTTGATACAATTAGCTCCTTTGATGTTGTCTGAGGGGGGAGAAGTTTCTTCCATGCAGGAAACCTCAGGTCAGCAGAGAAGGAGGCTCCCTGCAGTGCTGAGCACTTGGGGGAGTTAGGAGTGCTGTTGGCATCATCGCTGCCATCAGTTTGCCTGTGTGCAAATGGCTGTAGAGAGAGAACCTGTTGTCTTGGCACAGGAACTGTGATCAGTACAGCCCCTCAAAAGGGGGATTGTAGATTGTTTTCCCCCAGTATCCTCTATGGACTGTTACAGATAGGCTCAGATCTGGGGATTTCTTGCCTGCCTTGTGTGGACCTCTCAGTGGAGTGGCTTTTCTGTAATGGCTTGCAAAGGATACTTACTCTTGCACACAGCATGTTAACTGGCTGTTGAAGTAAGTGCTCATATCAAATCAAATCTTTCCTCATGTCTTGTCCATGCAAAAAAAAAATTCTCAAAGTATTTTTGTTAAGATTCCAATAAATATATAACACTTTTAACACAGCTGCTGTTGAGTCGTTTGTTTCTCTCAGCAAACTTTGGTTTGAACACACATCAAATCACTCTGGATCATACCCATCACAGCTGATGGATTTCCTCAGGAGTGCTCAGCATCAGAGAACCAAGGTGGAGTGGTGTGGTGGCACTCCTTAGGCTTTAGCGTTTCTGCAGCATCTCCCTCTGCAGAGATGCTCTCCACCTCCATTTTGGAAAGGCCTGGGGCCTTTTCTTGGTGGTATTTTGCACTGGCAGGATGTCAGCAGAGTATTGCTGGAGCCGGCCAAAGGATGAGCTAGCAAGGAAGGGGAAGGCATACTGCAAATCCTGGGGAGAGGGTTAGAGACCTGAGCCCCCAGCTTTGGGGGGGTCTCCCTTTGCTCTTCACCATCTCTCTTGGCTGCTGAAGCTGGGGAGAAAAAGTACCCTGTCAGCTAGAAAACACTTGGATGTTGTTTTTTTTTTAAAGTGTGCTCATTGGACTAACCCAACATTTGACAGATTTGTTTCTTGAGAGAGCTGTGGTTTAAGAAAGAGTGATGAGCTAGAAGCTGCGGGAAGAGTGGTGCTGCAGAGTGAGGAACCATGGGGTTGGTCCAAGCCTTGCAGCAGCAAGCAGGAGCTGATAGCTGCTCTCCTTTGGTACCGGAACCATCACATGGCCTGTCCTGAGCTGCCTGGGCAGAGTCTGTGTTGCTCTCGAGCCTTGACATGAGCTTGGTCCATCCCAGTACTGGGAGGTCTGTGCCTTGGGGCAGACAAAGTGACCTCTTGGCAGCTCTGGGTGGCAGGGCCTGCCACAGCAGTGGTCCCATCCCAGCTTCTGAGGGGTTTGAGGTCTCTCATGACACTCTCTTTCCTTGAGGTGCCGTGCCTCTCTCAGATGTCAGATGTCTGAACCAAGGTGGCTTCTTGCCTGTGTGCTATGAGCGTTAGGCCAGAGCTCTCCTCAGCACACGGCTCATATCCCTGCCTCACTGAGCAGGCTCTGGGTTTTGCATGGGCTCCTTCTGTCCAGCAGAATGCTCCCACCTCAAACCCATGGTGTGTGGCAGCACCTTGCAGCATGTTAGCCTGACAAGTGATATATAGATTTGTCACAGTCCTTCCTAACCTGTGTAATTTATGCCTGTAGGGTTAATGAGTCAGGGCTGGGCAGCGTTGGTGCGAAAGTTGTTCTTTTATGTGGATGATCTCATCCACATTCATGTTACCTCAGGAAAGCATTGCAGATATAAACCTTCCTTTGTCAAAACCAGTTCCTAGCTGCCAGCCGCGCTGAAGAAACACAGTAAAGGCCAGATTATTCAGCAACTGTCAGCTAAGGGCTCTCTCCTGGTGAGGTTTCCAAGAGCCAGTGGCCATCAGGCAGGAGGTTGGAGCACATGGCTGGTTGATGTGCTGCCAGCAGGCAGGGGGGACTGCAGGGCATGGGCAGCAGGGGGATGAAGAACAGCTGCAAAGTCTCTCCTTGCCTGCAAAGTCTCTCCTTGGCTGTCACTAGAAAGCAGCCTGGCATTTTGCTGGTACTGGAGCGAATATCTTTGAGGATGACCTGTGTGGCGGAGCATCAGACTATGGCAAATGGCCACATCTTGAAGGTGCTGCGGTAGGGCCATCTGAATGCTCAGCACAGCTTTAGCAGAGCAATGAATAACAGCAGAAGTGTTAGCCTGGCTCAGCACCGTTCCCGTGACCTCCTTCCCATCACACTGCTCCAATTGCTTCTCAAATGCACAAACTGGTGGTCTAAAGGTTCTTTGGTCTTATGATTTAAAAAAAAAAGCATTCATAAAAGTCAGTGTTTGGCCTATTTTGGCAATGTCTGAGCTGACTACTTAAATAACTGCTGAAGATTGCAAACCATCCTGATAACTAACATAGGAAAAACACAGCTGATTGCAGGCACAGTTGCTTAGCATTAAATCTGGAACTTCTGGAGCCATGGACAGTATGAGACACTGCCAGTGCATTTTCTACATTTTGTGGGAAGTTTGACTGAGCTTGTGACCTTATGTGTGAGTTAGGATAATCTCATGCACAAGAGCTCGTGCTTTTATCCACACATGCTTGTGGCCAGAAAAGGAGAGAGCATTCAAGGGAGAAATTGACAGATTCCCTAAGCCAGAGAAATACTCATGAGCTAGAAGGGAATTTTTGGGCAAGAACTAGTAGCGGCATAGTGCTCACCTCCATTAGTGTTACTGCAGCAGGAAGTGCTAACTAAATGAGGCAAGTGGCATAAGAGAGGAAGCAGTTTTCAGCTGTGAACATGCTCTGAGGTCTTCTAGTCCCAGGAATTGTTATCAGCCTGTGCATGGCAGCAGCTGAAGTCATTATTACCGTGCCTTTTCATTTCCGCTAACTAGAAAACAAGGAGTGAAAGGGTGAATAATACGATCCTGCTTGTAGATGTTTGTCTTCACAAGGTGCACAGAAGAAAAGTTGGTTGGAGTGGTGAATTGTTTTTCTGTTGTGCTGAAACTTTGCTGATATAAATCAGGAAAACAAATCCAGTGAGCAAAAAGAGATCTTTTTGTCAGCACTGCTGGGAGATCCCACGGTGCAGTGTTCTGTTTCAGGCAGTTAGGATTTCCCCAGACTTGCAGGGCTGAATGTCCAAGCACAAAACCTTCCAGTACTGACACTTCCTTCATTTCCTTTTGGACTACCAGTGAATACCCCCGTGCACATTGGATGTGTATCTCTCTCCTGAGTATCTCAGTTTTGCTTGTCCAAGAGGAGGGAAGCAAGGAAATAGGGATTCTCCTAGAAAGGAAGACAATGCATGGGGAAGAGACTGGCAGAAAAACCCTGCTGTATTCAAGATGTTCCTAAGAACAAGGGAGGCCTGGGATGTGAAATAATGGTAGGGAATCCAGAAGCCCTGGCTTCCATTACTAGGCAAAGATGCTTTGGCCACTGACAGGCTGTACCTCTATGACTGGCAGAGGTACTCCTTCAGGTTGGATGTACGTTGTTGTAGTCCCTTTCCCAGCAGAAATGGACTCACTGGTTTGGTGTTCCCTGGGTGTCCATGCTCGTTGTCCTGTATCTGGCAATTTGCACACCATTACTTATAACTCCATGCTTTCCAGTCTGGCTGTGTCAATGGCTCTCTCTTCAGGTCATTCTGGTATCATTGTGGTTATCATCCTGGTGCAAGGGGGGCTGTATGAGAGAAGTTTGTGCTTCATACCTGCCTTGTCACCCTACCCTCAGGTATGTGATCATATCCCGGGAGGAGAGGGAGCAGAACCTGATGGCCTTCCAGCACAGTGAGAGGATTTACTTCCGTGCCTGTCGTGACATCCGGCCTGGGGAGAAGCTGCGGGTCTGGTACAGTGAGGATTACATGAAGCGACTGCATAGTATGTCCCAGGAGACCATCAACAGAAATCTCACGACAGGTGAGACCTTCTCTTTCTACCCTTTCCCAGGTCCCTGTTGCCCATCACCCTTGTTGTACCAAGTGTAGTGGGTGATGTAGGTGATGCCCAGGCTGTGCAAGAAGACTTGCATTTCTACAAGCAGCTCATGTCTTGGCAAGAGCCTCCAGTTCTGCAGTGAATGGGGGTACAAGAAGAATGATGTTCACACAGTCTTGGAGATCATGAAATAATTATTTGTGTTGTGTGGTGTTGTGTTGTATCGTGTTGTGTTGTATCGTCTTTGTGCTGCTAGAGCCTGATACAGTGCCCAGAGAGCACAGAGCTCTTCCATCACAAGACTCTGTGACCTGAGAATTGCCAAGCTGGTGGTCCCACAGTCTGGCACTGGAGTTTTCTTTGACCATGCTGCTTTCTCTGGTTCTTGTGAGGGAACTCTGGCTGGTTTTGTGTGTATATTTAAGAGAGATTTCCTTGGCATGTTTGTATGTTCATTTTCCTGGCTTAATTTATCTCCTCTTTCTTCAGAAAGATAATGTGGGATCAGCGCGACATCAGCTAGAGACTTCTTAGTCTCACAACCTTAGAGTGCTTGTATGAAGTACAGGAGGCTTTGTACTTGTCAGCTTGATTCTTCCCTGGATGAAAATCATTATCTTATCTTAGCAATAGTCATGCTGGAGCAAACCCAGCAGTCCTTTAGGTCAATGTAATGTGAGCAACACAGGAAGCTTTAGAGGAAGGCAAAAATTCTTAATGCATCTGTTCGTCTGTACAGTGCTGAGACCTGAAGTTAATTAAGGGCATTTCTTTCCAGGCCTAGCCACAGAACAGCAGGGCCTCAGAGGGGCAGCCACACTAAATATAACTTTCTAATTAAGATTCCCATGTATATTATTACACAGCTGCTGTTGCTGCCTTGACTTGGTAAAAGGTGTCTCCTTGTTATGCATGGGGTGGACGAGTTGTCCTGATAAAGCTGGTTGTCCTCCATCACCTTGGAGTTCTTATGCACTTTCAGTGTTGCATCTTGATGCCTGTTCTTGGGCAATACCCTCATCTGAATTAACACCGGTATGAGTGTGTGTTTTTGTGTTAATGATCTTATAAATCACTGAGTGGTTAGGTACACATCCCATCCAGATGCTAGCTGTCCAGATGACTGTCTGAAATACATTTTGAATATATTTTGAATACTGTCTGAAAGTACTGCAGAAGACTGACTGCGTCCTCAGAGCAGCTGTGTTGCAGCAGTAGTCTAGAGGGGCACCAAGGCCAGAAGCAAGCATCCTGTCCTACCACACTTGCCTTTAGTCACAGTTTGTCATGGTGCTGTGGTTTGTGTGAACTGAATTGTTAACTCAGCTGCTATGAGTATGCAGAGATCTGCCTCTGGGCTCTGAGGACCCACCGTATCCTATCTCATGCTCAGGTGGAAGCCCAAGTGGCTGAAGAGACCTCTTGGAAACCTCTGAAACATCTTTGTGAGCTTATCTTGCAGCCAGCTGAGCTCTGGGCTGCATTTGCTAAAGTAGCGCAGAGGTGTTTTTTAAAACGAGCATGACCTGGGGCTGCTGCTAGGCTGGAGAAGCATTGCAGCCACAGACAGGCAGGTAGGCACTTGGAGGTGATCAGGGAAGGGCATAAAAATCTGTTTGTCTGCTTTCTGTTTAAAAGACTCAAAATTCCCTGCAGGTTAGCCTGTCAAGTGAAGTGGCAGGCTTTACTAACTCAAAAAAAGTAACGTGATCCCCAGGTTTTGTATCTGTTGGTAGCTTCTGAGCCGCCTCATTAATGGAGTTGAGAACTGTAATACAAGGGATTGTTGTGTGATTTCTAGCTTTTCTGTAGGGCCAAATGATTAGGTTGGCTAGGAGAAGAAATCACAGAAAAAGAAGAAGGATCTATTATCTGAATCCCTTCCAGTAGTTGTTACAGTCCATAACAGGGGAAATGTTAGGACAGAGACGCAAAGCTCTGCCCATAGAAAATCTCCACTGGGATGTATTGCAAACCAGATCTGTTGTTACAAATTCACACAAGTGGCTGGGGTTCCCAGCTTGTGTCAAAACCCCTTACAAGACCCCTGCCATCCAGGCCAGTCCTTTTTACAGTGCCTTACTCTAACTGTTTTGAGTCTTACATCTTTTCTGCATTCTTAGAATTGCTCTTCTTAGAGGGGAGTGGTAGCTTTTGCTCCGTAACTCTTATGAAAGCATGAATATTCTTTAAAAGCATACAAAAGCAAAAACAACATAAAGCAGCGTCTTGTTTGGGAAGCCATCAATGCTTGAAGTTATTTACAAGATAGAAGAATGATGGAAATTGAGCCAAACCTATCGTCTTTTGAATTTCCAGGTAAGGAAATATGGCTATTCCCTTTATTTTAAGCAATTAATAATTTGTATGAGGTTGCTTTTATTATTTTTTTTTAATCACTGAATGGCCATGCTCTTAGACTTTGCTGGCACAAGCTAGATGCCCCATCCTTGGAAGTCATACACCCATGATAGCTCAGTTGGCAATGTATACCTTGGGATTTAAACGTGCAAGTTATTTTTACTCCTTTGCCTTTGCATTTCTGGAGCAGTCTCCAAACTGAAGGAGAGTAATATGGTTTGCAATCTTTTTGCTGTGGCATGCACTGATGCCAGGGTTCTTGTGAAACAGTCTGAATCTCTTGCTGCACTGCTGTACATTCGATACCTTTTACCAAGTCAAAACAGGCACAGGTCTTCCAGACAGCCGAAATGGCACTGGGCTATGGGTGATAGGTTCCACTGTGATTAGTGATTACTGTCTAGGCTCCTTCCAGCACAGATTGGTTATACTACCAGGTTAAACAAGCTGCCTATAGTTTCTCTTCTCTTTAAAGTGTGTGGGTCCTACTCTGCTGTGGCTACCCAGGACTGCCTCTGTTTTTGCAGACATGCCCATTAGTAGAGCTCTTCCTCTTGCGAGCCTCGGTTTCCACTGAGTTGTTGCAGTTCCCTGGCTTGTAACACAACCTACAGATCTGCAGGGATTCAGTCTGCCTTTTTGTTCTTTTTTTTTCATTTGAGTTTTAGATTGAAAGATGCTGGTCGGTTTCCGGTGATAATCCCCACCACTCATTTTCCTTTCTAGGAGACAAAAAGTTACAGAAGGAAAAGTCAGAAAAGAATACAGATAATCAAGAGGACACAAGGGTTCCACTCCACTTCACCATGTTAAAGCAAGGGAAGAGCCCCTACAAGCGCAGCTATGACGAGGGGGAATCCCACCCCCAAACAAAGAAAAAAAAGATTGACCTCATCTTTAAAGACGTCCTGGAGGCTTCTTTGGAGTCTGCCAAATTTGAAGAGAAACAGTTAGCAACTAGCACACCACTTTCCACAAGAGCAACATCTAAATACCAGGCTGAAGAGATCTTCGAGAGGTGCAGCAGTGCCATGCAGCATGGCTCCCTAAACCTCAGCAGAAACCGAAGCGAAGAGGAATGGAAGGCCCCTCATGGTTCCTCTTTGAGCTCTGCAAAAGAAGTGGGGGTCCTTGAAGACGAGGAAGAAGAACCTCTGTCTCTGAAAGCAGACAGCCCTACCGAGCTGTCATTGGCTTCTGCAGAAGGCAACTCCCACGAAATTCCTACCACCTCCTTCTGCCCCAATTGCATCCGGTTGAAGAAGAAAATCCGAGAGCTACAGGCTGAGTTAGACATGCTGAGATCTGGGAAGTTACCTGAGCCATCTGTGCTACCACCCCAGGTACCTGAGCTCCAAGAGTTCTCAGACCCCACAGGTAAGCCTTGCCGAGTATCAGCCTTCTCCAAACCCTGCCTAAGGAAAGTATTGAGATGCCTGTGTGCGGTGTACCCATCTAAAGCATTTTGCTCTGAGTATTCAGGTGAACAAGTGTTTCCATGGAAGGTTCATTGTCAGGTTTTGCGAACGAATGGGCAGCTGACGTTGTGGGCACTGTGGAAGACTGGAAAGTATGGGAAAGACTCTGTATGACAACTTGCTCTATTTGTTGCTGTAATCAATCATGCACTGCCAATAAAAAAGACATTCCATTGCAGACAGTTTGTTTGCTGTATTTTTGATGCATTCTTTTTCAGCAGAATCCCATCCACAGTGTCTTACATGCTACCAGGAAACAGTGCTTGAAAGTCTGAATTGACTCAGTGGTTAACACTGGAATGTGTGCTCTTTGTGTGTGAAATTATGTCCCACTGTGTTCCTCATTGGAACTGTTTTCTCCACTGCCTTAACACGAACATGTGTCCTTTTCTGAAGATGTTTCATTTCTTCCAGGAACATGCTATTGAGCAGCAGGAGCCTTCACCAAAGGAACATTTGGGTCACACCATGCATTGTGCAAATAGTCAGAATGTAATATCATTTCTTTCTGTCTGTTGTGGCATGTTGGAGACTAAGTTTATAAGGGGAAGCATCGATTTATGTTTCCTTCAAAGCTGTTATTCAAATTTTAGCCATTGTGGTTGTGGGCAGGGTTTGGCCAGCTCATCAGCCAGCATTCGACCATCACTTGTAGGATGCTTTTCTAACTCATAGTCTCGGTAAATGCTTTATTATACCTTTTTGTTTTTTTTCCTTCTCCTCTTTTTTTTTTTTTCCAGCTTCAGAAAGTATCATCTCTGTTCCCACCATCATGGAGGATGATGACCAGGAGGTGGATTCTGCTGATGAATCTGTTTCCAATGAAATGATTGCTGCTACAGACGAGCCTTCTAAGATGTCTTCTGCGACGGGACGGAGGATACGGCGGTTTAAGCAAGAGTGGCTTAAGAAGTTTTGGTTTCTGCGGTACTCCCCGACACTGAATGAAATGTGGTGCCATGTCTGTAGGCAATACACAGTGCAATCCTCTCGGACTTCAGCTTTCATCATTGGCTCAAAGCAGTTCAAGATACACACAATAAAACTTCATAGCCAGAGCAACCTCCACAAGAAGTGCCTGCAGCTTTACAAGCTCAGAATGCACCCAGAGAAGACAGAAGAGATGTGCCGAAATATGACTTTGCTCTTCAATACAGCCTATCACTTGGCACTGGAAGGCAGGCCCTACTATGACTTTCGGCCTCTGGCAGAACTATTGAGAAAGTGTGAACTCAAGGTGGTGGATCAATACATGAATGAAGGAGATTGCCAAATCTTAATCCACCACATTGCCCGGGCTCTTCGGGAGGACCTCGTTGAACGCATCCGACAGTCTCCCTTCCTCAGCATCATTCTGGATGGGCAGAGTGATGATGTGCTTGCTGACACAGTTGCAGTGTATGTACAGTACACAAGCAGTGATGGGCCTCCAGCAACTGAATTCCTGTCTCTTCAGGAATTGGGCTTTTCTACAACAGACAGTTACCTCCAAGCGTTAGACAGGGCCTTTTCCAGCCTGGGAATTCGACTGCAGGATGAGAAGCCAACTATTGGCTTGGGAGTTGATGGTGCTAACATTACCGCCAGCCTGAGAGCAAACTTGTTCATGACAATCAGAAAGACTTTGCCGTGGCTTCTCTGCTTGCCCTTTATGGTACACAGACCCCATTTGGAGATTTTGGATGCAATCAGTGGGAAAGAACTGCCGTGCCTGGAGGAGCTGGAAAACAATCTGAAGCAGCTTCTCAGTTTCTATCGTTACTCTCCCCGACTCATGTGCGAGTTGAGGGTCACTGCTTCCACCCTGTGTGAGGAGACTGAGTTCTTGGGTGACATTCGAGCAGTGAAGTGGATCATTGGGGAGCAGAATGTGCTCAATGCTCTCATCAAGGATTATCTTGAGGTGGTGGCCCATCTCAAGGATGTCAGTGGCCAAACCCAAAGGGCAGATGCTTCTGCGATTGCCTTGGCCCTCCTGCAGTTCCTGATGGACTACCAGTCAATTAAACTTATCTACTTCCTGCTGGATGTGATTGCTGTACTTTCACGCCTTGCCTACGTCTTCCAAGGGGAGTACCTTCTTGTGTCGCAAGTGGATGATAAAATAGAGGAAGCTATTCAGGAGATAAGTCGGCTAGCAGACTCACCAGGAGAGTACCTGCAGGAATTTGAGGAAAACTTCCGTGAAAGCTTTAATGGCATTGCTGTGAAAAACCTACGGGTGGCTGAAGCCAAATTCCAGTCAATCAGAGAAAAGATCTGCCAGAAGACCCAGGTGATCCTAGCCCAAAGGTTCGATTCCCGTAGCCGGACTTTTGTGAAAGCCTGTCAGGTATTTGACCTTGCAGCTTGGCCCAGAAGCACTGATGAGCTCATGAGCTATGGGAAGGAGGATATGGTACAAATATTTGAACACCTGGAGACGGTCCCATCATTTTCCAGAGAGGTTTGCAGAGAGGGAATGGACACCCAAGGGAGTTTGCTGATGGAGTGGCGAGAACTCAAGGTGGATTATTATACCAAAAATGGTTTTAAAGACTTACTCAGTCACATTTGTAAATACAAGCAGAGATTCCCTCTCTTAAATAAAATAGTTCAGATCCTCAAAGTCCTTCCCACCTCATCGGCCTGCTGTGAGAAGGGGCGCAATGCCCTGCAGAGAGTGCGCAAAAATAACCGCTCTCGGCTCACACTGGAGCAACTCAGTGACCTGCTGACAATTGCTGTCAACGGGCCGCCCATTGCCAGCTTTGATTGCAAGCGGGCACTAGATAGCTGGTTCGAGGAAAAGTCGGGCAATAGCTACGCGCTGTCAGCCGAAATGCTGAGCAGGATGTCATCTCTTGATCAGAAGCCGATGTTACAGAGTGTGGACCATGGCTCTGAGTTTTACCCCGATATTTAGGAAGGAATGCCTCAGATCAGAAAGCTGTTGAATAATTTTTTTAAAGCTATACTCTAAACTTTGATATATTATATAAAGTATATATATATATTATATATATTAAGAAAAAACCCACACTGAAAATTTTAAAATTAAGACGATGTGCGTCTGATAGAAGCTAGGCAGAATTTTAAAGATTGAGACAATGTTTAGAAATTTACTGGTGTCTCCAACCATGGCAGCTGCAGTGTAGGTGGCAACATTTCATTCTTTAGAAGCATGTGCTGGGGCCATACTCTACATGTTCAAATCTAACAATCTATAAGCTAGATGACGGGTCTTTGTTGGCCTTCTTCTCCCGGTGGTTTCCTTTATATGTGTGTTGTCGGTTTGTTGGATTGGGTTTTGTGTTGTTGTTATTGTTGTTGTTTTTAGTTGCAATCTCTGCCTCTCTTTTTGTAGTTCAGTTCAGTTATTGAGCCATTTGAACCTTTTGTTGACGACCGTCAGATTTCTGATTTTCGACAGAGCATCCTGTGTGTTTATGTTGTCCCTGGATCTTCCAGCTCACCTGGTTCTCTCTGTTGGAGTGGGCGCTTTCTGCACTCACAGAGATTCCTGGGAGGAAGGAAAGGCTAGGGCCAGGATTTTGTTTCTTCTGATTCAGAAACACATGCCTCCACTAAACTGTGATACCCCTTTCTCAGTTCTCCCTACTTTTGAGCTGTAGAGTAATACTTGGCTTTCAGCTCCTTTTATGATAACCATAGTCCTAGTTTATCATACGTATATTATAACATGATGTCATGTGCAGATTATAAAATAGCAAAATAGAGAAGGCAGGGGGAAAATTTTGCATTTATATTTTTATATTGTAGGAAATAAATATATATATATATATATATATATATACACACAACTATTCATTCAAAACCAGGGCTGCTGTGGAAGCTAAACAGCCAATGAGTCAAGAGCCATCTCTGGGCAGAGATTCAAAGGCTTAAAAAAATTATATTCTAATTTACATTATTTATACTATGTCTTTATAATCCTAGATTGTTGTGGGGTTTTTGTGTTGTTTTGTTTTGTTTGGAATAACTGAAAGAAAAACCTGCTGCAGTTTGGTGGCAGGGGCTATCAATGCAAGATTATCTTGGATTATAAACATGTGATGATGTCCTACAAAGGTTCACTTATTCTCTTGTGACCAAGGTAACATGTTCCACAGCACAGCAGACAGATGACAACAGGAAGAAGGAATGCTCTACTTCTTCCTGTGAAATATTTCTTCCTTTCTTGAAGGGATGCGGAGTCCAGCCAAAATGTGAATAGAGGACTTGCACCTTCTATCACAGAGGAGATTGTTCTGTGGGCTTGGGGTTCTTCATCGTTTTATTCTTTTAAAGTAGATGAGCTCCACGTGTTCACACAATATCACTTCAGGTTAGAAAGGCAAAAAAAAAAAAGAAAAAAAGAAAAAAAAAAAAGAAACTAAAAAGGTGCAAAAACTCCACAGATGCTAGTGCCTTGCCCCGCTGATGTGGCATGGACAGCACCAACCTGACCAGACCATCATGGGAGTGAGAAGCTGTTGTTCAGAAGGTCTCCAAGCTGACAAATTCTCACTTCCCAGAAGGATGAGCTTTGTGCCAAGCTGTGTTGTTTGGAAACATGATGGTGGTATCAGCAACACTGAACCTGTCCTTTCTCCTGTTACCCCCTGCCCTTGGTCTTGGTGCTAAGATATCTCTAGAACCATTGCTGCTAGTTGATAGCTTTTCATTTATATAAATATATATATATATTATATTATTTTATTTTTTAAACTTTTTCATTTGTTTTCAATGGAAATGTAGCATGTTTGGAACCGATCTCTCTCGGAGTCACTTTCACTGCCAGGGTTCACACACTGTCTTCCCCAGGAAAACACGCACTTCTACCTAATCTCACCTCCCGCTAACCCGTTTGCCCTCAGTAGACATGCACAGTGGACACTGGTGTGCAGCAAAGCCACTGCACACCGTATCAGCTCTCAGACTCACGGACACGGCTCAGCTGGCGTTTGTCAGAGCTTTGGAAATGCTTCCCCTCTGTCCCTGTGGTGAGGAGAGGTGGAGCCTGCTTAGAGCACACACAGGGCAAACCCTTCCGTCCTCTGCCCTGGCTTGGTTCAGCCCCATTGCAGCTGAATAGGGCAGAACAGCCCCTGCCAGGCCGGTGGGCTGCAATCTGCAGCACTTACTCACTTTCCCCCATGCTGTACCTCAGATAACATGTGCCACCCATCTCTGGCTCTGGTTGGGACAGTGGGAGCTAATGTGCCAGGGCCCCTGGTTTGCATCCTGCTGCCTTCAGGCATGTCACAAGCTAGGCCAGAGCATTAAGCCTAGGTATCAATATGCAACACCTAGTGAGCAAAAAATAGTTTTATTTGCATAAACTGTTTTAATTACATTTTTTTCCTGCCTTTCCCAATAAATTATGTGATCAAATTGACCCATTTATCTAAAGGAGCAAGAGTTAAACTGGAAACCCTCTGGCACAGTAAGCAAGGCAGCTCTTTATGTGGCCATAGCACAGGGATCTCTGTGCACAAAATGTCTGCGGCTCTGCTGATTGTACTGCCTTAAAGCTGTCAGAGCTGTTTCCTTCCAGGGAGCCAGCAGGTCCTCCCATTAGTTACAGTTTGAGGAGATGTAATAAGCAAAAAGCGAGTCCCTGTAGAAGAATTGCTGCTCCACGAGGCTCTGGCCCAGAGATGAGCGAGGTAAACTTAGATGTTTAGAGACAGGCAGATGGGGAAAAGTACTCCTGCTCAAGTGTGCACAGATGCATGGGAAACTGGGGCAGCAGGAGTAAAAATAACAAAAAAAGACTTTCCATAAGCTGCACTGGGTGCTAGGGAGGCTGGCAAGGCAATTTCCATCCTCTCCTGTTTTTTTAATGTACTTCTTTGCTCAACTCTGTACCTCTTTGTGGAGGAGAAAAATAAATGATCTGCCTTTCTGTTTGCGGCACTGAAAGCTCCTTGGCACATGGCTTTTTTTCATGGAAGCCATCAAATGGCCTGACCTACGTGAGGGAAGGGACACTTGGCAACAGTGTCCAGGCACCTCAGTCAGCAGGGACAATATCCCAGTGCTTGTGCTTAGCTGCCTGAACTGCCTGTGTGCAACCTCCACTCTGAGCACCTCTGCTTTTTTGCCTCTGGGGAGAAAATGGTGCCTTGCCTTGATCGGCAAGGTTAAAGCTACCAGAGACTTGCTGAGAAATGATTCCTGTCATCTGTCACTCCTTCCTGTTGGTTGCTTTGCAATCCCATTCTCATCAGTGACATCTTTCACCCAGGTACTTATTCCCAAATAGCAGTGGGTGGCTTTTTCTCCAGGCAGCTGACTGAAAAAGGGAAAGCATTTGTTTCGTTCGTAATAACCGTGCATGCAATTGTGAGCAGCAGTGTCCATGGGAAGAGTATTTTCCCATGACTGGACACCGTAGATAGCTGTGAGCAGGAAAGGTCAGAGATCCCTTGCATTTGTTATGGGGGGAAATGAGTGCTCGGTGCAGCAGCAATAATGCAAACAACTCCCATCATCCCCCATCAGAAAATAGACGCAGCCTTTGTACTAGACAAGCACAGGTGCTTTGCAAGCTTTCCCTCCAGGTTTATCTGCCTATCTCAGATCTGTAGCTATTACTCACATGGATAGTCCTGTGGATGGAAACGTGACTGCCGGCACGAGCAAGGCTGTGGGAGGGGGAGAGGAATAACAATGCAAAGCGCCCTCGGCTTTTCGGTGCCCTGCCTGGCCAGCCTTGCCTGAGAGCAGGTTGCCTTTTGGTGCTCTGTGTGCAGCCAGCTCCGGGCTGTGAGGCAGGGAGGGTACCGGGAGGGCAGAGAGAGGCTGACCCAAATGGGAGGTCTCGGTTCTTCAGCTTTAATCAGTGCCTTCCTGCTGCTCTGAACAGAGGGGAAGCTGTTTTGTATGTGTTGCTTACAGTTTCATGAGCAGTTGCAGCAGCAGAGAGAAGGTTTTGTTTTTCTCAGATGAGCTCTTTTCCTCCCCTCCCCTTCCTAGCTAGGGCATCTGACTGTGAATAATACGCATTTCTGCAGACCCCAGAGCTTTTATTTCTAGCCTGTGAGCTTTTGGGTTGCCAATTTCCCCTACCCACTTCTTGCTCAGGCTCCTTGACTCTTACTGCCTGCTGCAAAGCAGAACCCATGAAGCACATGCAGACGTGTCCTTCTGCAGGGCTCGTCGATGGCTGGAGCAGCCAGTGCCCTCCGGCCACAAGACTGAACTCAGCAGGGATAATCCTTATGGAACAAGAGACCAAAGCTCTTCCCATACCAGCAGCAGCACGCGGGAGCCGTGGGATGAGCAGCAGAGGGCAGGGTGCCCGCATGTCTTCTCCTCTGGGGCTTCTGCTGACTCTGGCTGTGTCCCCCGTGCTGCTTGAGCTTTTGCTGATAGGAATTCTCAGACATGATTCAGGCTCCATCTATCTCTTTCTCATAGCACAAACTCAACCAGGTGGCCCGCAGGGTCTTCGGTGTCCCCTTTCCTTCTTATCTTATCCGTATTGCTGTTTGTTTGACCGATGGGTAGAACAACCGAAACAGGCTTGCAAATAAGCAGCAACATGCTCTGCTTTTGCAGATTCCCCTCTCAGCCCTGTCGAAAGAGGTCTTAAAAGCAGAGAAATGGTACGTTGCTCCCCCAGCCATTGTATTCAATGCAGTAACGCCTATGCAATTCCTGTCTCCCTTGGAGACATGTATGATGTGTGTGCATGTAAGCTAGTGTATGTATACAGTACATATGCATACCGTCTATATATTGTATATACGCACATCCCAGTACATATACACACCATACAAAAGATAAAATCACATGCTTATATATCTATAAATAAAATCCTATATATTTATATATTTCTATGTTTTCAATAGATATAAAGATATAATATAGAGATGATAGAATCAACCACCCTTGTGTAAGGCTGGCCCTGTGTTCTGGCACAAGGCATGTAACACTGAAGACGTTGGACTTTGGGATGGTTTTAGCCATACACTGAGGCCTACATTTACAGGTATAGCGCTCTGCAGACAGAGGCTTTGCTGTGGTTAGGACAGTGGGATCCTTGTTGGCATGTTATCCAAGTGCTCGATAAGGTTTGTCTAATGGGAGCGTCTCGGTGTGGGAACACACTCGAGTATCCTTGTCTTTTGAGTAAGCCTTTGTAAGGTCCAGCGTGCTCACGCCTGGACAGACACATATCCCACCCTCATATGCACTTTTCTGTCTCTGCACGGATGTGGTTGGCAGCTGAGCGTACCCGTGTTGCAGAAATGTGGCTCTGCTTTTCCCATCTGCCATCGCTAGCACAGCACGGAACAACCATGTGTCTGTGCCGTGTTTCGCATGCGGCTGTCGGTCAGAAACGCAGCGATGGAGCTGGAATAGGGCAAGGAAAGCCAATGCTTTATGCATGAGGGACGGTCACAGGATAAGGGCTGGCAGGGCACTGTGCTGAGCCCAAGCAGCCAATGGCAGCCCCTCACTGCTCTCTCCGTTGTCATTTTCACCTTCTGCTGGAAGGAGGGTGGGCGTTATCCTGACCGTTGGTTACACTGGTATCGCACTGCGCGAGCTCCCCCAAACTCCACACCCCCAGGCTTCTCGCCTCCACACAACTGGTAATCCACCTCAGCCGTGTCCCGCCTCAGCCGCGGGCAGCTCCCGGCCCCGCTCCTCACCAACCTCATGGAGGGTCTCCTCTCCCCAGCCCCCTCCTCCGGATGCCACTGACACTCGTGCAGGCCTGGCGAGCAGGCACGCTGCCTCCAGGCCACGGACTCTGATGCACTGCACCTCACGTCAAATAAGCTCGCTGTGCCGGGTAGGGGAACGTGTCTCCTATGCTGTAATGTTCCAGATGCTATGGGAGGGCTGCAGAGCTTTCTGCCGGTGTGAGGTCCTCACCCGACTGTTGGCGAGATGTGTCTCTCCTTCTCGCTTCCAGAAAGCAGAAAGTTTTGTCCCACACCTCTCTGTACCCCCACCCAAGCACAGCCCTGCTGAACTGTTTCAAGCTGTCTCTCACTCACCCACCACACACACACACACACACACGCAATGAGAGAAAAATATCTAGAAGTCTATTACTACATATGTATTAATATGTTAATATCACTCTTTTGGAGAACATTAAAATGTTATTACTTTACAGACTATGCTTTATAGTACCTGTGTGAAAGGACCTAGGACACTGGATACGAATAGAGCTATGTTGATATATCATAGTATGTACACGAGAAACTTCCTTTTGTCATATTATCCTTGTAATGTAAAATGATTGTTAATAAAAAAAAAAAAAAAAACATTTAAATTTAACTAGTTGGTTTGCTAATTCTTTATATTATGATAAGAGGTTAACTTAAAGATCTGGATGATGTACCAGTTTTCCAGTTGATCCTGGAAATGGATACCT